TCAGTCACTCATTTTTTTAAAAATTTATACTTAAGAGCAAGGTCTTGAGTTGGATTATTGGTACCAAGAAAGAAAGAAAGAAAGAAAGAAAGAAAGAAAGAAAGAAAGAAAGAAAGAAAGAAAGAAAGAACACAAGAAGCTATGTAATATTTAGCATTTTGTATCATATCTTAGCTCTCAGCTTTCATTTTCCTGTGTGTGTTAGTTCCCCCACCCCCAGAAACGTTCCTTATTCCCTGAAGAAAAGCCTGCACCCTGTGATCTTATTTTACCTCTACTGTACTCATAATTTGTAATTGCTATTATTTTTGAGTTTGCCAAATTACTGGCTTCCCTAATATACTCCAAGCCTTCAAGGACAGAGACTGTTGCCTGGGCACAGTGTCTATCTAAGGCAAATGCTGATGAAACAAATTAAGGCATAGAGTGGAGAAACAAAAGCAAACCAATTTTTTAAAAGTACATACTTAACTATATTCTGTCTCTTTGATACATTAGGTGTGGAGTATATAGAATACCCCAGAACCTTGGCAGCAGTTTGAATGCCAAAGAGAGAATTTGATTCATTTTTTTCTAAGATTTGATAGCAAAATATTTGACATTTTATATCAATAATTAAAAGTACAGAACTCTTTGCTACTGCAAATTTGGTTTAGTTCAAATTGTTGTATGCATATGTATTTCTGCATCTAATTTAAAGTAATCTTAAGAGATAATGGATAGCACAGATATTTTTGTAATGAAGCCTTGTAAAGATAAAAGGAACACACACACACACACACACACACACACACACACACACATGGGTTACTCACCTGCAACAACCAATGCAGAAAAAAACCAGTGTTTTGTAGGAGGGGCAATGGTGGCACTAATAGTTGTGGAAAATGAAAGAGAGGTAGAAATGAGAGATGGGGGTAGACATCTCAGAATCATACAAGAGGAAAGTTTCAAACATTTGCCAGGAGGAAAAAGCAGGAAAAACTCAAATATGTTGTCTTCATAAAGTAAGAAACATTTAAATCTTTTATCTTAGGAGAGGGAGATCTTGGGAAACTTCTAGCAGCTCTGATTTGTTGAGACTCCATGTGAGGTTGGACAGCTGCACGCTACATGAAATGGTCCAGTCAAGTGGCTGAAAGGGGACTCCAGTCCAGGCCAGCTCACTAAGCTCTGGGGGAAGGGGTGTTATTCTCCAGGGCACAAAGACTCCCGTAGGGGTCAGCAAAGACCCTACCTATGGTCAGTGGAAGGGACTGTTCTGGCACACTAATTTTTATTTAGGATACTACCATTATTAATTTCAACTTTTGAAAACATTTTTTTTCCTCCATAGGTTCCAGTAGCTCCTGGGAGCTACTGAGAAGTTATTTCCTAAGTTGGGCAAACTGGCCCTTGACCTGCCTTTTCCTTTTATTTGAAAGACTCTCAAAGGGAATTATGTAACAACAAACCTTCTTTGTGAATGTTCCCAAAGCACAATTCACTATATAAAAAGTATATGAGATATGCCAGATGATTTGAATTTCATCCAACAAAGTATAGTTTTGCAAGCATCAGTTCCTCTTTAATATGGTCTCATCCCAAAGTCTTTCAAAATAAAGTTGAAAACAGAATTACATTATAGTTTAGGCATAATATCTGCATTGTCTAGGGTCTCTGGATATGAGAGTTAGAAAATATCTTCTTATCAAAGATCCATTGTAGTAGTAGTTTCATACATATTTATGTTATTATAGAATTCTATGTTCTTCAAAGCTGTGTTGGATGAATAATGATTAAAACTACATAATATGTGTCTGGTACTGTGGCAGGTGATTTTTAAATTTTTGCTGTTTGTTTGCTTTGAGACACTGTCTCCCTATGGTCTCCAGGCTGACCTTGAACTTCTGGCCTCAGAAAAGTCTTTCTTCTCAGCCTGCCAAGTAGCTGAGGCTACAGGTGTGGACCCCCATGCCTGAAAAGTGATGGATTATTTTTTTTATATCAGCAAAGACATGTCCCTTTATTGACAGTTCGGGAACATTATATACTTTCAAAGGTGGAAATAGTGAAAAAGTTGAATTATTACAGTTTACAGAACCTAGGGACATGAGACCCCTTAGAATTAATTGCATTAAGCACATAGACTAGATGTAATGTTCGCTTAATGTAATGTTATTGCTCTAAGCTCATTTTTTAAAATTACATAAAGTTGTTGTAACAGTTCATGTGAAATTATGTTCTTTCAAAAACACCATACATACTGTCAGATAGTCTGTTGCCCTATAATAATTGATACATATGACAAAATCCATTGGAAAAGATGATTCAATTGCAGGAGCCACTTACATATTTCTATTCACAAACAAGTACATACCTACCCAGAAGCTTCTCATTGATCCAGTATCTGTAATTACATAATAAACTACTGCAAAGTTTAGTGATGCAAAACAATAGCCATCTTTTTATGTTTCAGTGTTTTTCTGGTCAGGATTAGCATGGGGCTCTGCTGGTTTCCCACTTCGGGTCAGCAGAGGTCACACTAAGAGGTAGTTAGCTTGTGAATGGGCTAAAACCAGTAGAAAAATCCAGAAGAGGATTCTGGAAGGCAGGTCTCAGCTGGGACTGATGACCCAAGGCCACATGCACTGGTCTTTGCAGTATTAAATGCAGTATTAAAGTCTCAAGGTAGTCACACTTCTTATATGCAAGCTCAGGGCTAACAGAGGGATACTGTCAGGCTACCCCGCTGGAAAACACAGGTTCCTCATGGGCCAGCTTTGAACATCACAGTATATTGTTTCTTTAAGATTCTGTTTTCAAACAAGCCACTAAAGCCCGCTTCAATTCAAGGGTGGGGGGTAAGAATCTACATCTCAGTGGGAGGAGAATGAAGAATGTTGTGGCCACCTTTAATCTGCATACTCCTAGACCAACTAAAGGAGCACCTGGGTCCTGCAACTATCCCTGGACACTCTACTGTAGGATGTTTAAGGCACAGACTTCTGTAGAAAGCTCTGGTCCTCTGCCATGTAAGACAAGTCAAACCCCCAGCTTTTATCGTTGGATTCCTATGTTTTGCAGTTGCCCCATATTTCCTTCACTAAGCCATTGTTAACCTAAACGACAATCAGAAAGATATTCTCCAAAGCATAATGATATTTATTCGGGAATAGCAGAGCAGTGCAATTAAAGAATGTGTGAAACTCTAGGTATATTCATGAGGTTGAGGCAAGGGGAAGTTTTCAAAGACAGAGAGGGATAACTTTATGTAAGTATTTGGATGCAGAGTTCATTGGTCTCAGAGATGAGCAGAAGGAGTTAGACTCAGCGTATTGGTGGAAATACTATTGCTGGGAGACCATTCTGTTAGGTGAACATGTTTGAATTGTTGCAGTTTAAGGAATGTTAAGGATAAATTTTGTTAAAGAAGTCTGTGCACAGTGGAAGAGGGAGTGCAAAGCATGAGATTCCTGTAGGACACGAATAAATCTCTCACCTTTAGAAGGTGCTTGAGAAACTACTTATCTCAGATAGCACACCCTCTCCTATTATAACTTCCTAGCTATAATTTTGTAAGCATGTGCGAAAAGGATTTCATCTTAGGATCATCAACGTTCATACCATTATGACAAAAAGTCTTTTTGTGTGTCATATATCTATTACTTACTCACTAGTTTGAGAGCTCTTCCCAGGCATGAGATCATAAAAGGTCAGAAATCCAGTCCCATTTTACAGGTCAGGGAATTAGCATCTCAGCTAGTTACATGATCAGTTCAAGGTCATAAACTGATTAATAGTAGCCTAGTTTGTCTGTTGCACTGCTCAAAGAGAGGCAGTCCTGATTTATCTGCAGGGTGGATACCTCATTCCCTTGGTTCTGAGCTTAGAAACAACCCTCTGCCTTAATTTGGCCTATTTCATTATAGAGCATTTTTTTAAAAGAAAATTACTCATTTCAGCTACATTGTTTAATTTTATTATCCCATCCTTTCTGTCCATTGAATGAATGTATCTCAAGTACCTACAAAGGCGGCTATAAGGTCCCAGACAGCTGGAACCTTATAAGGTCTTGCCACTGAAGGAGGCCTGTGCAGACCCATGAGCAGATTGTGCTGGCTTCTACAAGTTTTTCTTCTAAGAAGAGCACAGATTTCACCATAGCCACTTTTCCCTGGGCCACTTATTTGATCCTGTTCCTTCACCTGTAAGAACTTCTATAACAAGGCCCTCTTCTTCTCTGATGTACATACAGACCAAGGAGCTCAACAGCCTTCTCTTAGAACCAGCCTATCTGTCCTGAGGATTCTGAGATATTTTCTATAGGGCACACTGGGTTAGAGAGGCTGTTAAACTGCATAGATCAATGTGCTGGTCTAGTCCTTTCTGCCCTTATATATGGTGCCCTGGTACCATCAGTTTTAGTCTTCTACTGTAGATGATTCATCCTCTTCCTGTATCCGCTGGGAGAGGATGTGGGCAGGAATGCAGTGCTGATGGTGAGTTCTGCTCACAACAGGTAGGCTCACTCTCCCCTGGCCTAGGCAGGGGGAAGCAGCAGACCCTATCATTCAAAGCAATGCCAGAGACCAAACAAAGGCAGGCCTGGCAGGCAGATGACAGACTGATGATGGTGGTGATGATGGGGGTGACAGGCCCTCCAGGGGTAAGGTGGCAGGCTCCTGCAGGAGGAAGTGGAAAATGAAGAGTGGTGTGAAGGGGTTGGGGGTGGTGATGGACCCTCCACGGGGGAAGTGGCCCCGGGGAGATGTGACAGGCCCTCCAGGTGGAAGGTGGCAGCCCCTCTAGAGGCAGGTGACAGGGCCCTCCAGGGGGAGGCGATAGGCCCTCCAAGGCGAGGTGGTCGGCCCCGCAGGGGGTGGGTGGCAGGTCCCCGGGCAGACTGCAGGCCCTGGAGCAGGCACAGGCCCCGGCGAGGCTCGGCGACCCGGCGGGCTCCGAGCTGGGGCGGGCGCCGAGCCGCGCGGAGCCGAGGGGCGGTCCCGGCCGGCTCCCCGCCCTCCGCCGTCCCTCCGCGGCCATGCCCGGGCCCTAGCCGCCTGCCGCAGCTGCAGCCGCGCCGCCGCCTCTCAATGGGCAACCTGCTCGGCGGGGTCGGCCTCCGCGAGCCCACCACCGTGGAGGACTGCGACTCCACCTGGCAGACGGACTCGGAGCCCGAGTCCGAGCCCGAGCCCGAGGAGCCGGAGCCGGGGCCGGGCGGCGGCGCGGGCCCGGAGCGCGAGTCGGAGCCCGAGCCCGAGGCGGAGGAGCGCGGCGGCCCCGCGCGGGACGCGGACGCGGAGGCGGCGGGCGCCGGGCAGGTGGGCGGCGGGTCCCAGTGCGGGCCCCATGCGGGCCGGGGATCCTGGGATCGGGGATCGGAGGACGCGGGGAGCTGGGAGCCGGCCTGGGCCTGGCCGCGGGCGCTACGGGAAGTCCCTCCAGCTGAGCCCAACTTGCACGGGTGTTTGCTTCGCCTCTGCGGCGCAGCTGGGTGATGCGAAGGTGGGGCTGGAGGAACCTGTCTAAAAATAGAGGCTTGTGAAACTCTTCTGCTGCGTGTCGTGTCGTGAGGGACGAAACTAATAAATAAAATGATTCGGAGTAAGATGGGACTGCAATTGCCAGCCAGCAGGCAGTCATCCCTACAGCCATTAAAAGTGCTGTGGAGGGTTCCCATCCAAAGTTAAAATGCCAGTGCTTCGCCCTGGTGAGGCCTTTCACCGAGTTCAGGACATTCTTCTTCCCCTGGAAGACTTGTTGATCCAGCTGTATTTAATCATCTGACAGATGCAGTTTGGAAGAAAGTGTGGGGAGACATAAGTGGTCCCTTTAGCCTCTGATGGATCAAAGATAATCACAAACTTTAAACAGGAGTTGCATAGCCTGCTGTCAGAGAAGTGGCCATGAGGGTCCACCTTAGGCCTCCTATGTATCAGTTACGGGGAACCAGAGTGGAAAGATGGAGCCCCAAGTCCAGCGGGAGTAGAGGGTTTAGGGGAACCATCACTTGCATATTACAGCTGGAGCTGCCTTGCCTTCTTGATTATGGTCTCTGTTAGGGAAGGAAGAGCACAAAGTCTTCGTGATGCAGAATCTAGCTAGACATCCTGCTTAAATTAACTGCAGCTTCAGGCTGGGGGCTTGCTGTTTTTAATCCGTATTTGAGAGAAAACTGAGTCTTTTGAAGACAGAGAAACTTACCTAAGATCATACAAAGAATGATAGACCCAAATATGTCTGTCACCAAAGTCAGAAGCTTGGACTTGTTGGTGCTCCATCATTTTGCAGCTGTAGGAATGTATTAGATGCTGTTAGCACTAGTGTTTTACTTTTCATTTGACTCCCAGTTAAGTAATCTAGAATTTTAGGGTATCAGTGAAGACAGCTGAGAGTCAACCCAACTAACCAGACCAATCTGTGTAAAGCAGTATAACAATTAGTGTTTCAGTCAATTAATTGTAACCTCAATAAACACTAGACCACACCAGTGCTGCCCATTCCTGTAATAATTACTTTTTCTTGTTAGTGTCACCATTGAACTTATTGCAGAATACTTCTAATTTTACATTTTGACTCCCCCACCACACTTGTTCCCTCTTACTAACACTTAATCCCTTCCCAGATATTACTGGGTCTGCCTTTGAAGTATATATAGACTGTCTACTTTTCTGTCGAATTTTGGACAGATGACACAGTAACCTTGACTAAGATGAGGAAATCTAGGAACCAAGCAGCTTTAGAGGTTAAATTAAGGATTTTTTTAAAAAGTTTGACATTCTATTGGGCATCCAAATGGAGTTGTTGAGTTGTTAATTATATGTGTGACTAGAGGCTCAGTCCTAGACTGGAGTTGTCAGCATGTGAGATTCTTATTAGTATTAAAATCATGGGAGGATAAGTCATCAGGGAGCAGTGAGGAATGAGTCTGGAGCCCCAATCTGCTTGTGTTCAGAAGGTATGGAGAGGAGGAGCCAATAAAAGAGGCTGAGAAAGGAGACCTGGGAGACCCAGGAAAGCCAGATGCTATGGACGGAGGTCTCAGGCCTCCTAAGGCAGGGCTTCGCTGGCTCAGGCTTGCGGCAGCTTGTGGGAATGTGCACTGGGAAATGGTCTGGCAAGGTGGATATTTGTCGTTGAAGTTCGCAGGAGCCATTTTGATGAAATGCTGGGGACAAAGCCTGATTCGGCTGGGTAATGTGAGGAGGAGGAAGAGGTAAACGGGGAATCTGGTCATGACGTACTGTAAAAGGGGGCAGAGGTATGGATCTGCAGTTGGGGATGGATTTGGGTCAGGGAAGGTGTACGTTTAAGAGTAGAGGTACCAGCATGTTGGTTTGTGAAGGGAATATCCAGGAAGGGAGGCTTTGATGATTCAGGGAAGAGGAACAATATGATAAAAAGCAGAATCCTCACCAGCGCAGGTGTAAGGGATCAGAATAGAGAGCTCAAAGAGGAGGAGGGAGGGGTTGGAGAGGGAGGGTCAGATGGTGGTAGGTTGGAGGTCCTAAGGATACAGTCATTCTCAGGGCAATCCTGGAAAGGAAGTGGGGCCCCGAGTCATTATCTTCATTTCACAGATGATGCAACTAACATTCAGCTAGCGGTCTGTTCAATTCCTCGCAAATGCTAAGTACCAGAATTATGCTGGTCTCCTAACTCCAAGTTTCCCAAATAGTCGTTATTTTTCTTTCTTTTCTTTATATTTATTTTTTTTCCTGAAATTGATTCGGATCTAATTAGTGAGATTTGGAACCTGGCTAGTTCTTGCACTGTCCCTGGGCTTTGAGTCTTGTTCCATTTCTCTAAGCTTCAGTTACCTCGTTTCCAAGACAGAAACATTAATAATTGCCAGGCAAGTGAATTGTAAGCATCAAATAAAATCATATATATATGAGTGCTTTGTATATGGAAAAGTGCTTTCTATACAAGTGTAGGATGATGAATCATATGGTTGTAGCTCAGGCTAAATAGAATCGGAAACTTGCTAGGCAGATCTATTTTGAAATGTGTGGCAAGGATCAGAATTTAAGCCTTTCCTTGCTTATGTAACATGACTGAGTAACTAATGTTAAACATCAGAGGATATGGTGTTAAAGCCACTATCTTTGTATTTGTAGTAAGAGTGCGAATCTGCATCACTTAAGGAATGTGTGAACGTTGCTTACCCAGTGTGCCAGTGTGTCAACACAGACCAGGTGGAGCGTGGTATGCAAAGAATTTAGGGCAAAAGCTCTTAATGAGCATTCAGGCCAAGACTCTGTAGTCTTTCTCATCATCACTCTAATTCTGCTTCTGCATGATGCCAGACAGACTTTATCATTCATTATAACTATATATAATTAGAGAATACAGATTGAGCATATTGACCTGTGTCTTAAATGACTTCATGGTGGTAAGAATTCTACCTAGAGTATCAATAATATCAATAAACTACCACATAGAAATTACTACTTTGTGATGTTCATTCCAGTTGAGAACTTTTCATTGCTTTATGGGTATTTATTTTAAACATGCTGATTTATAGCATATCGTGTTATCACTGAGTGAACAGATGATTTTTCATGCCTTTCCATATTTGTTACGGTGCTATAAAAGGTAGAGTTTAAAAAGCTAGTTTATTTTAAAAACCTTTTTCTTTTATAAATATTGCTTGACTTCCAAGTACAAATAAACGCTGCAAATTTAATGACAGTTTTCTTTGTAAAATTGATTTATAATTGTAACAGTTTTTTAGCATTGTGTACAGTGTTCTAAAATAAGCTTTATTATCACACTACTTGTATTACAACTGGTAAACTATATTTTGAATTCATTCTGAGTTTTTTTTCCCTAATAGATATTGACTCATAACATTTGTCCTCTAATGTCATTTAATGAAGATCAAATTTTTAAAAATTTAGTAATATACCTTAGGACACAATGTTTTGTGTGTGTGCAAATAAGGAAGTTAAACTATCAGTAAATGTTGCTAGTAAATACTGCTTGAAAACAGGTGCTTAGGATATTTTCATATTTTGGGTAAACTGACAATTTCCAGGGTTTTTTTTTTAATGGATATTCATTATTTCAAATTTGGTCTGGAAATTTTCCGTGAAAATTTTCTTGCTTCAAGATATAAATGGAGTTTCACTTTTGTTTTAGGATGGTGAGTCCACTGAAGCAACTGCTAAACCAAAGAGAAGTTTTTATGCTGCGAGGGATTTGTATAAATACCGACACCAATACCCAGTAAGAGTACAGAATTTTTTTAATGACAGTATTTCTTTCCTGTTTTTGTAATCTTATGATACCATAAGAACACTTGCAAGAATGGTCCTGTGCCTTTTCTGTGTTTCTGTATACTAGACATTCACTTATTTTTTCCCTTTAGCAGAACTTCAAAGATATCCGATATCAAAATGACTTGAGCAATCTTCGTTTTTATAAGAATAAAATTCCGTTTAAGCCAGATGGTGAGTAACCTGCTACCTTGGTAAAAAGCAAACTTTAAAGAACAGCAAACAGCCGTGTATGATTGTTTCTTGCTTAGTACATTCTTACTGCAGTTATTCATTGATTAACTTGACTTTGTTGTGCAGTCTCACGTGTCCTCAGAGTCCTAGGCCTTAGAGGTGTTGCATCCACTTGGTGAATCCTGGTGCAGTAGCTATTAATTAGCAGTCCTTTTCTGTCATCTTTTATCATGGCTATTATCTGAAAGATGGTAGGAATAACACTTTTCTGAGTGGGAAAGGTAAGAGACTTACAAAATATAGAATTTTGGATTATTAGGGACTTTGGTGGAGTTTGGATTCAGCTTTCTCATATTAAGATGAGCTTACTGGGATTTGAAGCTGGAATGACTGACTTGCTGGGTCACACAGTGGATTTAAGGTTGTGTCTAGGTGCCAGGATCTACTACTCTTTCCAACACGCTGCACCTGAAAATTAGGTAGCATGTGAGTGAAGAACTGTTTGGCTTTGGAGTCATCCCTTATGTAAGTTTTCAGAATCAGGGTAAGGGAGCTCCAGCACAGTAGGTCTCCATCTAGCTCTGCAAAGCAAAGCTGTCTGTGTTGGGCTACAGATTTCCTTGTAGGATCTGTTCCAAACTCTACTGAGAGGAGGCAGCTGCTGTGATAATTTTACCACAAAATTTGATATTTCACTGAGGCACCACACTGTGGTTCATGGTGGGGAGCTTCTGCGAAGCTGAAGCCAACTAATTTCTTGGGAGTCCTTTTGTATGTGACGTGAACAGAGGGTCTTGGTTTCTGCTCTTTACTATCAGTAGAAATAGTGCCAGTCCGACAACACCGAGTCAGGGCATGAGTATTGTCGATGGTAAGGCTCTCCTAAGAACTTGAATTCTTGGGGGAGCTAAATGGAGGAAAGAGCTCTCAAGGTTTCATGGAGTATTAGGAGAAGGGATTCCTGGTATTGTGCATTCAGAGATGTACCAGCTGGCAGTTTAGAACATTGCTGGAATAGTCCAACCTGCCTGTCGTTGACTTTCTGGTATCCTAAAAGTCTGCTTTGATTTAGAACAATCTGTGCTGTTGTATTTACTAAGGATGGAAATGTGCTGGATTTTTTAAACCAGTGGAAAAATATTAATTAAATTACTAGTCTTTTTAGAACTTGGAATAAGCAAAGTTTTTCAAGAAATGCAGTGATAGTGGCTAGTGTGATTCTGATTTGAATTTCGTAAAACTTAACTAAAAGAATACCTATGGGTCTTAAAAACATTGAACATGAAATATGACAGTTTCAACTTTAGTTTTTGTTTCTAGTAAAGAATTTATTTTTGACTGTAATTTAAAGCACTGACATCAAGCAATACATTCAGTTTTTGTAATCTTTTTTACAAAATTTATTTTGAAAACTTGTAATATTAGTTGGGGTCAGAAGTTTTAAAGTCACATAGAATGTTGTTATGATATGTTATTTAAATTACACCCACTCCCACACTTTCCTATCCAGTAAACATCTACATACACACACTCGCATTCACACACACACACACACACACACACACTCACACTCACTTACTTGCCAGTAAATGTACATGTTTTACTTACTAAGTAGGAGTAGAGGTAATTGGAGGGGAAAACAGTGTTACAGAAGCACATGGTTTCAACATGCTGTTAAAGTTAACAGTGATTCAAAACAACTTTTACAAAACCTTTTGAGAGTAATCTGCCACTAAAAACTGGTGATTCCTGGAGGAAAGGAGAATGAGATGTGTTTGGAGAAAAGCTTTGCTACTGTGGTTTTCCTGTAAGATGGGTCACATGGCTTCCTGGTCAATTGTAAGGACCTCAATGGATTTCAGAATCAGAACAGTTTTGTTGTATCAGGTGCTTACAGCAAAACACTTAGACAAGATGAAGAGGAATTGCTTTTTGGAAGCAGAATGGCCTATGTTGTTCTCCTAGATTTACTTTCTTACTAGTGTGTGACTTTTAACAAATTAGTTTCCTCACTCTAGAAATGGAGATAATAACACCAGGAGAGGGTTTTTTTTGTTTTTGTTTTTTTGGCGTAAGAGCAGGTAGTAAAATATTCTAGGCTTTGCAGAACTGTAAATCTCTGCCACAACTGTTCAAGTTTCATATTGTAGTAAAAAGCAGCCATTGGTGATACACCCTTGAATGTGCATGGCAGTGTTTCAGTAAAATTTTATTTACAAAAAAGCTGGCAGGCCATTGTTTGCCAAGCTCTGCTTTACATTACCCAACAAAACTTTCTGTGATTTGATGTACCATTATATTTTTTAATATCAGACTTAATATATAACTGAGTTTGGGACATAGGGTGTTCATTTTTAAAAGCATTATTTTTCGTGCTGTTTTTAAAGTTTAAAACTTTAATATAAACTCAAGTGATTCAGATCTTAAAATGCTTTTATGATGTTTTGAATGTCTGATTTGTTTTCTAAATATGTATTGTCTAGGTGTTTATATTGAAGAAGTTCTAAATAAATGGAAAGGAGATTATGAAAAGCTGGAGCACAACCACACTTATATTCAATGGTCAGTTATGTACTGTCTCTCTTGAGCTATGTTCTGTTTACCCTGTATGTTTTCCAGACAATGTTAATAGAAAAATTTTATTTGTTTAAAAAAATAGGCTATTTCCCCTGAGAGAACAAGGCTTGAACTTTTATGCTAAGGAACTAACTACATATGAAATTGAGGTAATGCAAGCTTATTTCACTTTATATAAGATTGTAGAATGGTATTATTATTTTATTGTACTGATAGCTACTGAGTCATCTTGGGGAACTTTTTTTTATGTTCTGTATATTAGGAGTTCAAAAAGACAAAAGAAGCAATTAGAAGATTCCTCCTGGCTTATAAAATGATGCTAGAGTTTTTTGGAATAAAATTGATTGATAAAATGGGGAATGTTGCTCGTGCTGTTAACTGGCAGGAAAGATTTCAGCATCTGAATGAGTAAGTAAAGCCCCAGTGATAAGCCAATGATATTTTCTTGTGGTCAGAGATCTGTATAGAGCATAGGAATAGGTGGCAGTTGAGTCTAGAAGTTTGAATTTAAAAGCAATCCTGAAATGCATCCTATTCTTTGTTCTATATTAAAACAACTAAAGACCTGAATTCCAAATAGATACACAGCTATTCAGCTTCAGGACTGCTTCTTTCTTCTTGCAGCCTCCTGCCTGCAGCCAATTGTCAGCTCTCTCCCTGTTTATGTCATGTCTCTTGGAGTGGTTTTTGCTTAAGTATAGTTTATTATATCCCCTCTCCTAGGCTGTAAGCTTCTGGGGAACATCTTCACCTAGGTGCCTTCTTAGATTAAATTCATGAATTAAGGTTATGGTATGTAAAAGTCATTTTATAAGAATGAAATGTGACCATAGTTTTTATTAGGATAGATGAAAAATTATAATTTATCTTCGCTGTTTAGATAAAAATCAAAAGCAATTTTGGTTAATCTCAAAATCTATAAAGAAATATTTAACATAGCTTATTTGAATTTGTTTTGCTATATTCTTTTGCTTGGGTATTTATAACTTTCATTAAAACTTGTAACCAAAGTTTATTTTTAAAAATATCTTCTTCATACACAATCCAGTTTTTTTTCTTTTTAATTATGGGGTGACTTATGAGTGCTGGACTATAAAACCTACATTTTTAAAGCCCTTTTTAGCACATTATAATTAGCCAAATTGGGCAAGTTGTAAGGGAAAAAAATAAAACTAACTTAACCATTTCCTCTTTGGCCAAAAGTAATCAGAATTTTGCCATCTCTTATCTAAATTTATGCTTTCTAGAACTTTCATCCTTTTACATTGTTAGTTTTAATTGACACTAGTAAAATGGTAGCTTTTACTCAAACATTGAAGATATTGTCATAAAGCTTTATGAGCTTGACTGGAAGAGATATTAACTCATGACTCAAGTTAAATTTGATTTGTCTAGAAGACTTGCAGCGTGTGTAGATATATACCTACCTCTGCCTAAGCAATGAGGCGAACTGTCTGTGGACAGAGTTTCTAAGCACTGTGTCACACTGTCAAAGAAGCTATATCCAGATAACCTGCTGACTTGAAGCATGGTTAAACTAAACCTTCAGAAAAAGTCTAATAACACATCATTTTCCATGTACTCTCTTTTGTCATTTTAAAGATTCCTCCCCCGTCACACCATTTGTTGCTTTTGGCTGGAATAGCAATCTTGTTTAGTAAATTCTTTGAATGAATAAAATTGGAGCAAAAATAGCGTCTTCTGCTTAAATCCTCCTTCTAGTTTTATTGTCACATCCTCTCACTGATAGGTAGAAGCAGAGCCATTTCTGAAAGCCTTAAGTGTCCAGAGAAGGAGCCTGAACTTCCACCGTCATTGCCTCTCTGGGTCTTTCCAGCTCTGGACTATCTTAGATTCTGTCTTAAAACATGTCTCATCTCTGATTTAGTTGCCAAAAAAACGTTATTTTTTATGTGGGATGATGTGAAAATGTCTGTCCATTTTTCTTCCTCAGTTGGTTCTGTTCTGATTTATTCTTAAATGTTATAGCTTATCTGAGTTTTAATCTGTATGCCACCTTGAGTTTTTTAGAGTAGTCAGAGAACTGAGTATATTTATAGTAGCTAAGCAATGGAGAATAGTGAATCAAAGTAAAATGATGTCGTATGAACTGTACAAGTAACCATGCTAAAGGGAGCAAAATACTTTTAAACATGGAGTACAAATATATAGACCAACTATTAAGGTGTTTTTTCAGTTTTATTTGTCATCAGCTTATATTACCAAGCCCTAGTTTAGGTCCTGCAATTTTTTCTGACTTGTATTTTCTCTCTTCTGATTCGTGTTTGTGTGATCTGACTTTGTCTGCCTAGCATCATGGCAGTACTGTCACTGTTTACCGCCCTTGCCTGTGTTCTGAAGCCCAGCTTCTCCCTTTTATCTGATGTATACACCAACACTGCTTCCAGCGGTCCCAGAGTTTTAGAATACTCTTCTGTCTCTTTTTGCCTTTCATGGTGACATTTACTTCAGACCATCCTGAAACACCCAGTTGATTCCCCTGTAGTTCCATTCTAGAATCTTGATCATCATTTTCCTTAACCCAAGTTGCTTTTCCCCCATCTTTTTAAATTAGAGTATAAAGGTTAAACGGATTGATAGGTTTTCTGTGGATGTATTCATGTGTTCATGTACTATACTTCAATTGTTCCCACTGCCACCACTGGTCAAAGATTTTGTCCTTTGATACTGTTTTTAAATATCTTTAACTGGAGAATGTGTACATATGGAAAAATGTGTACAAAAAATTTGACATGGGCTGGGGTTTTAGCTCAGCAGTGTAAGCACCTCCCTGGCAAGGGTGAGGTCGTGAGTTCAATCCGTGTTAAAAAAAAAAAAAAGAGAAAAATTTAACTTGATGATTCGTGTTAGACTGGTTATGTGCAACTGAGCTGATTTCAAATATATATAAATATATATTTATTTTGTCACAGAACACCTATTATAAACATTCTACTTTTCTATGTCTTTTCTCTTAGATTTATAAAGCAGGTGTTACTGAAGAGTTTTGTCAGTAAGTTCTTTGAATATATAAACTCCACATGAAGGTTGCATTCAAGTCAGTCCTGTTGTTAGTAGCACATTTTTTTTTAAAATTTTACTTAAATAATATTAGTCTTAAGATAATACTTCTGTGATAAACATTTAAAAGTATATAGATGGTAAAAGTTACTGAGTTGTCTTCTAGTATCCTGAATAATCAACATCTTTGTTTTGTCCAGATTCTCTCATTAAAATACAAGATCATGGAATCACACCTTCTTCCACATTTCAGATAACTTATTGACTTCTTTCTATATCCTTTCCAAATAATTTACTTCTTATTCCTCAGTAAAAACTCCATGCACTTTTGAAAGCTAGAGCAGGTATATGCAACAGTCTTGAAGTTCAGTGCCTAACATATAAAACAGGCGTTAGGAAGTTAGAAATAAGTGCTGATTCTGGCTGTGTGGCGGTATTGGGTAAATAAATCCTGGATCTGTTGACAATATATGTGATCAATATAGGTAGTTGAGAACTCCTTTAGGATTTGGCCAGGCCAGGTTTGATCTGAATGAAGGTGAGGAAGTAGATTATAAATTGCAACAAAACAGATTTGGAAAGCATTAATCCAATAATGGCTTTAGTTTTGATAGAGGAAAGTTTAGTGTAATCTTGGAAACAAAGTGTCTTGGGAATCAAGACCATTGGAAATAAAACTTACAACTTTGTGGTTAAGGAAGGGGTGTCAAAATTTGCCAGGATGAAAGAGAATTAAGTTATTAAATGAGGACAGGTACCAGTATAGTCTTGGTAACAAGTCATTAGGTAATAACTATTGAAATAATAGTTTAAAATAGTATCTGATATTTATTTTTGTTAAAAAAAAAAAAGTGCTCTAAAAAGGTATCATTTCATTTGATTCTTACAACAGCCCAGTAAGTTGTGGGCTATTTTTCCTGTTTTACAAATGAAGATACTGAGACTTAGAGTGACATTCTAATTTTACCTAAGAGACACAGCCAAGATGTGATTAACTCTGAGGCACATTCACTTGTTGAACTGCGCTGTATCAAATAAGGCAGTTTTGTGTCCTTTGTCAGAATTATTCTGGCAAAAGTGGTTTTTTTGCTATTTTCCTTGTGAATTGGCTTATTGGACAGTTGACACTGTTCCTCCTGCGTCTCAGTTGCTAGCTAATGTGTGTGTGTTGAGCCCTGGTTACCTGTGGTGGTGCCACGGGTGATGAAGTTCCCCCATGTTTATGGGGAACATATTCCGTGATCCCCACTGGATGTGGATGTGACAGTACAGATGCCTACGTACACTACATACACTGCTATACATACATACCTATGATAATGTTCGACACAGCAGGAAACTAGGCATGGTACAAAATTAATAGAAACTAATGAAATTATGCAACTATCGCAATATACTAAACAACAGGTGTGTGAATGTTGTCTCTGGAGCCCTCTGAAAGTGCCTTACTGTGCTGTACACCCTTCTTGTGATGATAGGAGATGATACAGTGGCCCAGTTGACTTTGGGTAGCTATTGTAAATGCTCCGTTAGATCATCCATCCTCAATGAATTTCATTTTTAAAAAAGTTCAACATCAGTGAGGATAAATTTAAATGTAAATATTTTTCTAATATGAACTAAAAAAGGAGACTATATGGTTTGAATGTCACATAGATTGCATTATCTTTAAGACACAGGGCTTAATACATTAACAGAGTGTGATTTCATACTATCTAATGTGACTTTTTAAAGTTATTACAATACCATTTCTTTGTTTTATACTACCATTAAAAAAGTTTCTCCAATAATTTTCATCTTCTTACTTTTCACCACATGATTTCTGCCTCATTTTATTCAATCCTTTCTTCCAGGTCTCAGCACAACTATTTAAGAATCACCCGCATTCTTAAAAGCCTTGGTGAGCTTGGATACGAAAGTTTTAAATCTCCACTTGTAAAATTTATTCTTCATGAGGCTCTTGTGGAAAACACCATTCCTAATATTAAGCAGAGTGCTCTGGAATATTTTGTTTATACCATCAGAGACAGGAGAGAAAGGAGAAAGCTCTTGCGATTTGCCCAGAAACATTACAGGCCTTCTGAGAACTTCATCTGGGGTCCACCCAGGAAAGAACAGGGCGAGGCCAGCAAGGGCCAGAAAGCAGCTTCCTCTCCCACCTCTAATCACAGCAGTCAGAATTCTATGCACAAAAAAGTCAAGGACTCCAAAAATTCCTGCACAGATGTTCACTTAAACAGCAGAACAACTGAAGAAAAGAAAGTAACATCCAAAGAACCCGGGGAAGGGGCAGAGAGGCCCAGCTCAGAGCCCAGCAATGACCCTGCAAAGCCCACAAACCCACAGGACATTGGGGCTGAAAGTGCAAATTCACACCAGGAAAAGACAGCTAGTAACCCTACAGAAAAAATGGAGAGTTCATCTCCCTCTGAGAAAGACGAAGAAAGTGAAAATCATAGTGAAGACTGCAAGAACACAGAGAGTACCAGCTGTGATAACCAAGTTCTGTGACAGTGAGTCCTCAGAAAACCACAACCCAGAGGGAAAAACTAAGACTTTCTCTTGAAGAACAGTGACAAGGCCATACTCCGCCTGTTTAGCCATCCTGTGATTTCCATTGTAAACATTTTGTGTATTTGTTTGTTTTGGATGACAGTGAATTGGATACTTAATAAGATCTTTTAAGGTGAGAGCCAATAATGAATGTTTTAGGGTGTAAGTTTTTAAATTCTCTATATGATTTAGGTTATTTTCAAGGCATCCAGAAAAAAATCATGTAGCATTTGGTTTATCAAATACTTTGTTTTGAGAGATTATGCTACAGGAAGAAAATCAAGGGAGTAATTTCATTGTATCACCACACCTTTACCTGATTTGTGGATTAATTTTTGAAGCTGGAAGAGTTTTGGCCTTCTCACATATATTCAGAAAATAATTTGGACTCTTTGACAGCACATCGCCATGTGCTTATTTTTAGACTCTGATATGTGGCGTGGATGTCATTGGAAATCTCTGCCCTATCAGCTCCCTGTCCCTCCCTCTCACCCCTCACCCTGGCCTCCTCCTTTGTCAGCCGCCATGTGCATTTCTAGCACATTAGAGTGGTCTCCTGTATTGACATCTAAGTGGGATGGAGAGGGACTTTTAATTGTGTGGTTTCAGAAATTTCCTTTAAAATAATAAAAATGTTTTCTCCATTAAAAACTTAAAAGCAAATTTTGGTGTAAAAGTTTTAAAATAATTTGCTTATTTAGTGGTTGCTTCAGGATATAGATGCCTGAAGCATTAAAAAATGAGAAGGGAAATTACTCAGTTTTAACAGTCATGCCTGTTGCACTGTCAATAAGCAGTAATCCCTTCAACTGCTAATATCTTGGTGTTAAGTAAATTATGGATTTACTAACATTGCTTGGTTCACACTGTCTCTCAAAAAAATATATATATATATATGTTATGCAACTTTAAGTTGTCAGATTTTGAAATTGAGAACAATTTGACATTCCATATACTCAGTTCTAATGAGTACTTAATATGTTTCATAACATTGGTCATAAACAGTTTTTATTTCCTACAGCATTATTACTAATTCATTGGAAATGGAAATCAAACACTGTGATGAGAACTTCAAAATGTACATACAAATACAGACAAAGATTGAGTAGATAAAACATTTTCACTTTATGTCATTTAGAAAAGAATTGACTTTTTTGGTTTCTCTCTTCAGCTTTTGAGAAAAGTTTGATCTACTTCAATCCCTAGAGGATTTTTTTCCCTATGTGAGGGGTTGAATTCAGGACCTTAGCACTGAGCTATATCCCCAAACCCCTTTTATTTTTCTTTTCATTTTTTTTTTTTATTTTGACACAGGGTCTTTCTAAATTGCTTATTGCCCAGGCTGGAACTTGCAATTCTCCTGCCTTAGCCTCCCAGAGTGCTGGGATTAGGGAATGCACCATCACGTTGAGCAAGAATTTTTAAAAGTCCTGTTTTGTATCACATTATATCATCTTCTGTTGCCTTTATCAATCCACACTTTCAACAGTGGATTTCTTAGAAAATAGCAACACTGATAAGATGCCTTTAGAATGGGGTTTTTATTGCTATGGAATGTACACAGAACCATCCCGGTGGCTTAACCTTGATTTTTTTTTTATGTGAATCTTAGTGGCAATCGTATTGCATATATCATATTCCAATAAGTAGACTGTAGAACATTTTATTTTTAGTTACCATAATATGTCAATTTTTGCTTCGTACTGTGTACACTATTTGATTTAACAATCTAGGTTTGCACTTCCGTTTCTTTTTTACATGCAAGGAATACATGGACCCTTTTATGTGGTGCTTGTAACAGTATCCCTGCAGATCTCAATAAACAGTTTCACAAGGATTAGGGGACCCTTATTTTCAGTTTGGTCTAGATCGTAATACACAATATTTTACAAATTTCACATACAGGGCAGATATTCACACCACTTTCTGAATGTTTAGCATTACAGTGTGTGACCCAGTACTAAATACTAATAAATAGTTGCCAGATATAAAATAACACATAGCAGAGCCCTTGGAAGTAAAAAGATTTCATTTAACAACGGAGCTTTTAGAGTATTCATTAGGGATTTTGTTAGGCCATAGCATTTAATACGAGAATATTTTATCTCAAGAGGAGAAATGCCTGGCTTCCATACAAAATAGTGGCCTTCTTTCCATGATGTTTTTAAAATGCATATCATACCTGATACTAGTATGTTTCTTACATTTAATCTGTAGATAAAGAGAATTATTTAGTGGAGAGAAAGTAAGGGGACATCATTGCTTTTACAGATAGAATTTTTTCTATAATACTTTGTACATTTAATAGTTTTTCAAATAAGATCTATAGATATGTATTTATGTGTCTTAGATATGAAGCTGGCCTCTGGGTTTAACTCCAATGTTTTGTATTTTTAAAAACCACCATATGCTTGTCAAAATTTGCTGAGAACGTGTAACAGAAAATGCAGTGAGCATGGCCAAATAGCTAGAAACATTATTGAGTATTTGCAAACATATAGTCTTTCTGTTGTCCTACAGGCTGCAAGGATACTAAATATTGGCTATCAATAACATATTAACTTGCATATCATGACAAATAGACGTTATATTGTCTGATTAGTCTGATATATTTCTAATATTTTGTGCTTTCATATATCAAAGATAATATATGTGAAATTATTTTGAAATACTGTAAAGTGAGATAATGATAAGATATATTTCTGTACAGTAGTTTCTAACATTAAGATTATTGTAACTACATTTTCATGCTCAATCTTAAGAAATTCAAAGTAATAGTGACAGAAGTGAAGATCTGTCTGCTTTCTCTAAATCAAGTCTAATAGTTAGTTCAAAAGTTAGGTTGTTTTGTTTTAGGTTTTGAGATGCTTTTTTCCATATTCCAGGAGAAAATAAAGTCTACAACTCAGGAGTTCTTAGGGAAGTTCTAAGAGTTTTTGCTAAGTTTTAGAAACATAGTCATAGAGATACCATAAAACCTGTTGTCGTGAGTATGTTTTGCTCTTACCATGTAAAATTACCTACTTGGCTTGTACCTTTTAAACTCTAATCTGAGTGAGAATATAATCAGATGAAAAAGGAAAAAGATCACAGTGTTACATCTGAGTTAGTCTTTTAACAAATCATTTTTGGAAGTAAACTATGTCAAAAGGTTCAAAAATTGTTTAGATTTATGAATAGGGAATATTTGGTTAGTTGTTTTACCATTAAATTTCCCAAGTTTATAAATAGAGTTATGACTCAGTTTATAATGCACTCAGTAACTAAGGCAAACAATTTTTTTTAAAGTATAATTGAGGTGCTCCTAAAAAAAATCTGTATTTTGTAACCCAAGAAAAGAAGGATGTTCTAGATTTTGCTTTCTGCAGGCCTTTAATGTCTAGGGGGTGAGTATGGAATCCTTTGTTAGGTTTTGAAGATGTCTATTTTGTTTTTCATTTAGAAAATTCTCTTTTCTCCTTGGGGCCTATGTATTCTGTATAAGGTAGGATGGAGTTAGAATGCTAGAGTCATTTCAGATGTAGGTGCAATTGTAGAGAAAGGCGGCCTGAATCAGTATTGGACCTAGGAAGGTAGGTGCATGTATCTGCTGACTTCTGCCTGCTTTGAGGGCTGTGCTATTTTTAGAGGAACACAGTTGTGTGAAAGTTCCCTGGGGTGACAGACAGTAAGTACTTCCCTGCCTTCTGCCTTGTTCTGGTTATCAACCCACCCAGCAGAATGTGTTGGGACAGTTTGGTTTTGGAAACCTCTTATTGAAAGGAGCAGTCATAGAGTTTATATGAATTCCTGGAGGTGTTCAGTTGTGCCTTAATGTAAGAGGTTTTCATTCAGAAGTTGACCTTTTTACTCATTGTAAGAGTTGATCATAACGAACTTTCCAAGCCAAAAATGACAGTTATTTTAATGTCATTTACCTTGGTGCTTTATTATTTTGGAGCAATTATCATTTGAGACAAAAACATTTGTTCATAAAGAAATATACTCGTCACACTATCAGCAGTGTTATGCTTGATAAAGAGGACTAGGGGAAGAAAGACTGACTTGTGCTGTAACATTTAGGCTCTTTCTTAGTATTGTTATGTACTGTCATTTTCACTTTAAACATTTTAGTTCCTGCAAGTAATATTTACATTTTCTTGTTCCTTAATGCAGATAGTTGCAGAAAGTGGTATTTTATTAGAAAATCTTAAAATTTCAATTCTAGTAGATGTTAGGAGCAATCTTAAATAATTTGAGGAACATTTAAGCTATAAACTTACTAGAACCATTTGAAAAACTATTGTTGCTTTTATCCTAGATTAGAGAAAGTGTTCTTGGTTATCTGCTTTTCTCCTATTGTGAAGCTTGTGTTAGCTGCATGTGGGAAAAACTTCTTTATATGTTTGTTTTCTTGGATTAAAGTTTTCATGTGAAGTGCTTTGTGTTACGGCCCGAACTCTGGTGGAAGTAGAGGCCAGAGAGGGGAAGGTTGGCTGAGTCAGGATGGTGTCTCGGGGCAGTGAAGCCAGCCCTGGCTTTCCCCTCCCCAATGGTCCATGGTTCTTCAGCCTTCTAGGATCATGACCCTAAGATAGCTCTGAGTTCCAGGGAGGAAGGACTCTGGGGACTCTACACACGATTCTAATAGTTACCAATTTTCACAGGATATCTGCTGTCATCTGCTATTTAGAAAATTATGAGCAATTGGCCATCTGCTATGTAAGTTATACTTGTATGTTTATAACTGTCATGGGGAACATTAAATTATCATCATTCCCCCCAGTTCAACTTCAAGCAGAATTTCTTTTGGACTGTTCTTTCCTAGATATATTTTAATAGAATTATCCCAAGAAAAGGCATTAATATTCACTTATTATGCTGAAAGATCTTTTTCATTCTAGATTGGAGAACCCTATAGAAAAATAAACTACTATGTTTGTCATATTTTCCTTTTTTTTAAATTTTAAAGGAGTTTATGGAACAGTTTATATTACATAGAGAGATTAGTTTTTTAATAAGCTTTGGGCTTAAATGTTCCATGTTATGTACTCACTGGTTAAATGGGCATGGTTTTCACTACAATTAGATTTAGTTTCATGTGAAGAAAAAGAAAGGAATCAAAAAATTAGACAAGATAACAAGAAATCACAGAAATAAAGACATAACCAACTATAAGTTTGCACATGGGCCAGAGTTGTTGGAATCAGGTGAGAAATGCTCTAGAAAGGCTCAACAGCTCTGTGCTGTTGGGGCCGAGGCCATCAGGGATTGGTGTGGAAACAGATTCCCTTGCGTTCACTGGTACACTGAGTTTTGCCTGCTCTTCCTTGATGTTTTGGTGTGACTGATGGAAGTCCTCCAAGGGTCGGAGTCCAAGTTTAATTGCTGTATTGGTGATCTTACTAATAAGAACTAAATTGAGAACCTGGCTATAGATACATGGACTCAGTGATAGAAGAGCTGGGGGAGAAGTACTTGTCTCCCACGCTGCCAAGAGCGGACAGCTTAGTGTTTGTGTGGTGTCACAACTCAGAGAAACCAGAGAGAACAGAGGCTGCCTGCCTATCTCCTTGCCTTTCTCCCCTTCCTTCCTCCTTTTCTTTCCTTTCCTCACTGCCTCCCTTCTGTCTGTCTGTCTGCTTTTTCTTCTGTCTTGAGTAAGATACTGACTTTCCCATTGT